ATAATTCCGTTATATATCTGCTTGATTCTAGTGAATATGAGGGAGGGAGAAGACGCGCAACTGATATGAATTGGTCTCCTCAGGTTTATCATATTCGCGAATCTTTAGTACAAAAAAATCAGCTGGTCTTATACTGGCTAATAGATGATGAAAACAATGGTCTGAAAAGATCCTTTGTAAGAGAGGAATTGATAATTATTCCTGATACTGAGTTACCATACCAGTGGGTACTTGTGAATTAAATTGATGACAGAAAGTCTTCTACTTCTTTGTCAACTTATGCTTTGGTATTGAAATTATCCTTAGCTAATCTATAGTAAAGCTTATATAGCTCCATAATATAATTAAGAATTTCTGGATCTTTACCATACCAATCTTTGTATTCACCCATAATTTTATTATATTTATCTTCATTAGGAAATATTATTTGAACTGATTTTTGAATATATTCTTCAGGATCTTCTGCCTGGCGTAATTTATTAATTCTTTATTTATAGCTTTGCATAAATTTGCCTTTCTTCGACCTTCTATAATATAACCCTGCCTTGATCATATTTATTAGTGCCTTTTCAACTTGCTGGAAAGTGGGCTTGACTTCAGATAAAACTTCTTGGGTAGCTTAATTTTGATTGCTCATTATATATATATTTATTACTATATATTACTTATAAAATTGTTTTATTTAAATAATTAATTCTGTGTAAGAAAAAAAAGATTTACATTATGTATAGTGAATATACTTGCCTATTTATCAACTATTTTGGTGAAATTTGTGGAAGATCTTATATACGTGAAGAAGGGTGTTCTATTCATTAGAAATATGTTCGAAAGTTAGCTGATAAGCAACTTACTCCTTGTAAGGAATGTATTAGACTTAGAGTTCTAAAAATTCAAAATCATAAATTGAATAAATCATATCAATTTAAAACATAGGTTAAGCTTACTAGATCATATTCTAGTCTGTGTCCTATTCATATAAAAGGGATTTACGTCTCCCAGTACTATCAGAGGTTGCGGTCTAGGACTCTAATGAATAAAAATTAATCTATTAAAATTTTGGTACTCCCTCCAGAATTTTGATATCCCACTCGAAATTTTGGTATCTCAGAGGTTAGACTTATTAGAGATACGATTTTTTTGACCCTGAGTTGTGTAAAGTAAATGGCTCTAGAATTGTTTCCTATATATCATAAATTTTTTGATACCATATTCGAATTTTTTGATATCCTAATATCATTTTTTTTTGATATCATATGGGTAGATTGCTAGGAAAATCAGGTTTTGGAAATTTTTTAGCAAAATTGAGATTTTTATTGCATTTTAGTTTTTGATGTAATTAGATTAAAATGTATTAAGCTCTTAATTTTAGTCAAAAATTTCTCGGAACCTAATTTTTCTAGAAACACTCCCATATTCGAATTTTTTGGTATCCTGATATCATTTTTTGACCCTAAGCTTTTAAGGGTGAATCATCTTTAGAATAGTTTCTTATATATTAAGAAATTAATGATATACTAGAATATAATCTAAAGCTTTTGAAAATGAATATGAATACACATAAATTTTGGTACCTACCTTGAGGTGGATACCAAAATTTAATCATGCTAGATGATAACGAATCTTTTTTAGAATTAATTTTAAAATATCATAAATAATATTATACATAGAAGGTTTGCAGAGACTTCACGAGCTTGGTTTTGAACCTTCAGTTCTTGCCAATCTCGCATCACTTCAAACTCAAACAGAATGGTATATTTTTTTTGATATATTATTTGAGATTAAAATTGGGCTAGAAAGGCTATAAGAGATTGTTTTATTCTTGATATCCTGCAGGTAATTTAATGCTAAATTAATACCAAATATTCAGATAGCAAGAAAAGCTTAAATTTGGGCTAGAGTTTTAAATTCAATAGAGGATTTGTATAGCTAAAAGGCTTTGAAAATAAGATTGGAACCTTTCTGAATATATTTTCAGATTTTGACCCTAGAACTTCCCTTTTTGTATTACTCATCCCGATAAATATAGGCTATTTTTCATCCATAGTTTTATTTACCATATATCGAGTACAGTCTACCATCTAACTTTTAATTCCATGTTCTTCTACTTTTAAAAGGCTTTCTAATGCTGGATAATTTTTAACTAATTGTTGATATTTGGAATCAAGAATCTCTTTTTTGTAGTATTTGAGTAAATTATCAAGGTTATTGGAATGAAACTTTTTTGGATGATTTTCCTATTTTTTTATATGCGTATCAAGTTCATCAAAAGAAGAATTAATCCATTTACTAAAATTGGGCACCTGATTATATTTATAACGAATTGAATTAGTCAATTCACCACCTGCATTTAATATCAATACACAATCAATTTGAGCAAGCAACTCCTTATATTTTCAATTTCTTTTATTAAATGCTTCATTCTTTGCTAAAAGGTCACATTCATAACATCATTTTTTGGAGTAATATCCAAAGCATTTTGTACTTTTGAAATAACCTTCTGCATGATCTGATCCATCATATAATTCATCATTTCAGAAAATTGTGTATTGAACTTTGGCCTTTTCATTAAGAATTGAAGTACTATACTTTACAAAAATAGCATACTCTACTTCAAAAAATCCATAATAGACTGTAATGTAAATAAGTAAGATAAAGTACAAGGTTAAATTAATATAAATAAATATCTTTAAATTAAATTAGAACATGCTGTACTACTTTGTTCAAAATTTTCAGATGCCATCTTTAAGGATCTTTGATTTAGATTTATTAATATAATGTCACTTGATTAGTTCTCAATTAGTTCAATCAAATCAATAATATTATTACTATCTATTGGCATATTATATTTATTATTTGTTTTGTTAAAAAATGATGTCAAAAAAGTGAAGCGCATTCTTTTTGATTCAAATTTTTGGGTTTCTTTTTGGGAATTTTCAATATGTGTTAGAGTAATGATATGTTCTTTTAATCTAATTCCATCGTTAAGATGATGCAGAGTTATTGATTTTTGACAACTTTAACAGTAAACATGCTTATTATTATCAAATAAATTGTATGATTTGTCCATTAAAATTATTTTAATAAGACTTGTCCTGAAAGGTTCTCAAATTCTTGAAGAACTTCTGTTATTTTTTGTTCTATACTTTCATCTCGAGTTCTTTTAGATAAACTTTCACTTTGAATTGCTATATATAGTATTACGGTCAGTTCTTTAAGATGCTTATGAGTGATAAGCAAAGCAATATTTATGGGTGATAAGCAGAAGGTTTAATTTGATATTTAGATTTAGAAGAGTGTCAGTAAATTAACAGTTTATTTAATAACTATAACAATGGAGTACTGCCTCAGTCAGCGCTCTGTACTATACAATTATGTTAGAGGGATTAAACTAAACTATTATATAAAACTATATGTCAGACACACTGCTAAGCTAAAGAAAATTGTCCTCTATTTATATAAAATAAAAAATATAAAGTTATCGAAGATATAAAAGAAATAAATAAAATATATAAGATAAATATAATATAATAAATAAATGAGATAAATAAGATAAAATAAATAAAAGAAATATATTGTATAAAAGAAATATATACCATAGACGACATAGATAACATAGAAGACATATATGATTTCTTAGGGATCGATGTCATCCTTTAGATCATCATCATCCATATCTTCTTTCATGTAATAATAGCATTAAATTTTATATAAAATGTTTAATAAAAACTAGACTATGTATTAAAATAAAATTATAATGATAAGAACACTTTTACTAATATAAGATTCAATGCTTTTTTCTTTTCCTTTTCCTTGAATAAAATTACTTGTTATTCCAAAATACTCAAGTTTTTTTTGTTGTAAAACATCTTTAGAAGAACTGCTTTGTTTACTAAAATTCATAATTTTTTTTTTAAAAAAAGAAATCATTTATTTTGAAAAAAAGATATGATAATGATAAATCAATTTTTGTACAATGAACATTCATAATATGGATTTTTATATATCGAACTTCTTAAATTCAGAGTAAATCTGTATACAGAAGTAAAAATTTATTGCAAACTTGTACACTGAGATAATTTTTATTGTAAATCTGTACATTAAAGTAAATTGTCATTATCTAAAATCTGTACTTCAAACTTCAGCCAAATTTTTATATCTGTACAATAAGAACTGATGAACTTTACCACTAAATTATCAAATTCATATAATGAGGTTCTAATCAGTGTATTCAGTGACCCTATAATGATCAAGGAGAAATCATCTCACCATCATTGGTTGAAATCAAAAAAAAATCAAACATGCAAAAATCAGCCTAAAATCAGCCTAAATTTGGCAAATTATTAAAAATCAGCCTAGCTGATTAGCATACATCAGAAATCAATCAAAAATCAGCCAAAATTTGACTTATCTTATTTATAGCCAATTGGCATACTTATAGCCAATTGGTATATATCAAAATTTGACCTATCTTATTTATAACCAATTGATATCTGATTGGAATGATAGGATATTATCGTTTCTTAGAAATGATGGTATTATCGTACTTAAAGTACGATAGTTTTATTATTCCTAAGGAATGGTGCATTTATCATACCTTAAGTATAATGATTTATCATTTTTAAGATACAATGGTATTATCATTTTTTAGAGATGATAGTTTTATCATTCCTTAGAGACAATTGTTTTATCATTCCTTAGGGACGATAGTATTATTGTACCTAAGGAACGATGGTTTTATCATACCTAAAGAATGATGATTTTATCATTTCTTAGGGACAATTGTTTTATCGTTCTTAGGGATGATAGTATTATCGTATCTAAAGAATGATGGTTTTATCGTACCTAAAGAATGATGATTTCATCGTTCCTTAGGGACAATTATTTTATCAACGATAGTATTATCATACCTAAGGAATGATGGTTTTATCATTCCTTAGTAAAGCTTCAAATGGTTCAGATTAATCCAAAAATTTTTAGTTCAGATCAACTTCAGTTCAGTTTCAGATTGCAAAAATTTCAATCTGAAAATTTTCTTAATCTAAAATTTTGGATCGTTTAAAATGATTAAATTTATCGTTCTTTTGGAATGATTGAAGTTATCGTTCTAAACGAACAATAAGAAAATTGTTTGATTAGAACGATTAAAATTATTATTTCAAAAGAACAATAAAAGAATCATTCGATTGGAATAATCAAATTATTATTCTAAACGAACGATAAAAGAATCGTTTAATTGGAATGATCAAATTATCATTCTAAATGAACGATATAAGAATTATTCATTTGGAACGATTGAAGTTATCGTCCTAAACGAACAATAAGAAAATCGTTCAATTAGAACAATCAAATTATCATTCAAACGAATGATAACAGAATCGTTCAATTGGAATGATCAAATTATCATTTCAAATGAATGATAAAAGAATCGTTTAATTGGAACGATTGAAGTTAGGATCGTTACATACGATCTGAAATTTCAGATTAATCTGAAATTTTCAGTTCAGTTCAGATTTTTACCGGTTTACAGTTCAGTTTAGTTTCAGATTGGCATTTTTAAAATTTATAATCTGAACTGAACTGAACTGAAATTTTCAGTTCAGTTTCAAATTGGCCTATAATCCAGACTGAATCAAACTGTTCAGAGCATTATTCCTTAAATACAATGCATTTATTATTCCTAAAGAACGATTGTTTTATCATACCTAAGAAATGATGATATTATCATTCCTTAGGTATGATGATTTTATTATTCCTTAGGGATGATTGTTTTATCATTCTTAAGGAATAATTATTTTATCGTTTCTTAAGAACGATGGTTTTATCATTCCTAAGGTATGATGGTATTATCATTCCAATGAACCAAACTTTTAGATTAAACTAATTTGCTAAAATAATATTGATTTAATATATTATTTGAGTTTTTTCTGGTATATAAGAATATTTATATAAATAAGCTTAATTTTTTAACTTTTTAAAAAATAATTTCAATCATTTC